CAAGGTCAAGGATGTTTGTCACTAACTAATGTTAACTGCCCATGAACCGTGTGTTTGAGTTAGCAGAGAGAGCTGAATGAGGAGCTGTTTTGATACTGCATGTGCAGCTGGTACTCCAAGGTCCTCCTCAGAGTCCGGAGGAGGAGATGATAAGTGTGCATTGTAAAAAACAATCCTGGCACACTGTCCAGTTGCAAATCTTCGCGACCGGGCCTTCAGTGTAACCTTTGTGTTAAGTCTGGATGAACTCTGCCCTTGCAAGTAAACTGGGTTACAAAATCCTCTCTTGTCTGCGAGTGTGACTCCTTTTTAAGTAAGCAGATAATGAAAGAATATTTTGATCCAACTCTATCTACCTATCTATCTATCTTGGTCTGTATGTGTGCATGTGTGTAAGTTATAAACCTTGGAAAAGAAAAGTGTTGCACAGAATCAATGAGGTATCTTCTCCTATTGCTTCACTTTTGCCACATCCAATATGGCGGGGAAATTAATGCACGATTCAGTGCTCAGTGAGGTGTCTACGTATATATGTCTATGCTTTCCTCATGCTCAGAGTCTCATGTTTTGGGCTCATGTATTCTATATCAGCATTCTGACTGGTTAATTTTTCTGTCATTTATTAAACAAATACTTTGAGAGAGTTTGACCCAGTTCAGTCTTCTCTAATGAAAGTTAATTTCTAACCAATGAGAGCTACTTCTATATCTGCCTGGAGACAAAAATGTAAAATATTCTGATTGGATAACTTGTTTTCATGAATTTAAAAAAAAATCTTGCTCAGTTGCTAAAAAAGTTTAAAGAAAATAAGAGAAAGCAACAAAGAAACAGCACTGAAAATATTTATTTAATCAAAAATAAATATTAAATTAAGATTCTAAATGTAACCTTTCATAAAGACCCTGAGGGTTCTCTAATAATTTTACACTGTACAAGTATATATTCATGTCAAGTCCAGATTTGTTCCTGTTGTTCTCTGTATGCGTGTTTAATTAATGATTTGTGAGCTATTGTTTATCGCTGCATATTTAGCCTTTTTGGAGATTAATATTCACACAAAAGGAGGCTGTTAAGGTCACCTTTCATATATCCCCAGATGGAAATCAATGCATTCAGATGAGTCGCTCTGTTTAAGAAAGCTTTAGTTGCACATGAACTTCAAATGTACCCTTTTGAAATATATGACGTTCGTCTCAAAATCTCCAGGGATGTTGCTCCTGATGGTCTAATGTACGCTTCATTGTGCTGCCTCCAAACATGTCAGCAGTGTGGTACAGAGTTTGTGCTACAAGGTGAGTCACAAGAACACAGTCAGGAGATTATCCATCTTGTAAGGCTTCAGGCTACATGTGGTCAAGGCACAGTTGGTCAGATCTGTCACACTGCTGCGCTGGAAACTACAAAATTTAGGAGAGTATTTCTTCACTGAAGAAAATGTAAAAACCAACACTGTAGACAGCAAAAAAAATAAATTAAAAAATGCTCCTTTAATATTTCTTATATTGTCTTTAAAAATTAAAAATGCTACACCAACTTTCTTCACACGACCTTTCCCAAACAGCTCCTAATGTCAAAGTCAAATTTATTTATAACACACATTTAAAACATCAGCTGTTACCAAAGTGCTAATGTGTTACATCAGTTGCGTAAAACATAAAAAGCTGGAACATTTGCTTTGACTCAGGAGTTTAAAAGTATAATGATTTTGCTGAAATACTGCAAAGCAGTTGTGACTGGAGTTAAATGAGTCCTGAAAGCAGTCGGAACGACCATCTTGTTTTTGTTTTTAGTTTTCTACATCTCCTTACAACCTAGATTTTTTTTTGTTACATTTTCTTTTAATTACGATTTTATTTTCACTTGTTAAAAAAAAAAATCTCTATTTGTATAATACATCCTTTATGATTGTCTGTTGTTGTCTTTGTTAAAATCAGGTCTCTCTTGTAGATGAGTCCCCAAGGCTCAATGGGATTAACCTGTATACTGTAATTTCTTGACTATTGAGCGCACCCAAATATAAGCCACGCCCTCTAAATTTAAACAATGATAATAATTTTGTACAAAGTACATATATAGGCCACACTTGTGTATAAACTGCAGGTGTCCATGTGAGACATTTACACAGAAAGATTTTTTAAACTTTTGATTTAATACGTATAACATACACAAATACGTACAGTAAATGTTTTTTTTTTTTCTGAACAGTGCCTGTTACACGGATGGTACAAAAAGACAAAAACAAAAAAAACCAGTAACCTACCAGGAAGTCACTGATTGCTATCTTCATCTTCCTCCTGCAGAGGATTTTTTTTAAACTGCTCCTCTGTCAACATCCA